TCCCCATACTTTATTAACACGAGTGTTAGCATACATTATTAATGTAGGTGTTAGGAAGAGCACTTCAGGGTCAGCTCCTGATTTGTGACTTGATTTGAATTCAAAACTTCACTGAGTTGAAAAGAAGTTCTTTTTGCATGTGAATGGGAGTCTGGGAGCAACACCAGGTTTCTTCCAGATGCTRTTAGTAAAGACAACTGCCCACYTAGGGATCCATGAATAYTGCCACASCAGGTCAGTGCATTCAGTCCAATAYCCTGACTGACATATTAGTAATTCTCAAACACTTCAAAGGAAGATAAAAAACTCCCTAATTTTGTGGAATAATCTCCTCAGGRGTGGAATTTCCCTCAGACCTGAGACAGCAGCTGGTATATATCCTTTATTACTCTTCCTTTRAAAAGTAAGTAAATGCTAAATTCTTTTCTAATATTACTGTGTACTCTGATCACATCTTGTCTTGGTTTGAAAGACAGGTGTCTGCCAAGGAGTGTGGACCTCCCTCAGAATGGSGAATATGACCCCACCTTCCCTCCAAATTATTATAACTTGAAAATTACAAGGCTTTTCAGGCAAAGATTTGGGAAAAGGAAAAACAGTTCTTTACTAGTATGTGTAACAAGGCAAACAAACAACCACAATGGCAGTAACAACAAACAAACCACAAACCCAGTGACAGCCTTCTCTGGCCTGTCCCCCRCCCTCCCCTGTGGTGCAGTTACAGTCACAGCCGCAGGGGCGCTGGCGGCTCCCGGCCGGGCAGGGCGGGTGCGATGGTTCCTCCGCGCCTGCAGGGGCGCTGTGGCGMGGGTTCAGTCCCTTCTCTCCGTCACGCGGTGATGACGGGCGGGCTGGATGGTGGATTGGCTGCAGCAGGGACCTCGGAGTGGTGGCTGGGGTGGCASGGGTTGGTTTGCCTGATGTAGCGWGCAAGAGGTGGCAGAAACTCCACAGCGGTGCAGGAGATTGCTCCCTGGGTAGCTCACCGGTGATGGCTGATTGCTGGGTTCGGGCTGCACAGATAGGGGGCCCCACCCTGGCAGTGAACGGGGTGTTCCCGGCTCTGTGTGAGGCAGGCGCTGACTCTGGGTTCCCAAGAAGCAGGGAAAGCAAGCCAGTAAACTCCGCTCACGGTGCGGAAAGGAAAAAGGGAGGAAAAAACAAAGCAGCAACTGTATCTCTTATGAGAGCAATCGCAGGGGGTCCTTCGGAAGGGAGAGACAACCCCACCACAACTCTCCCAGGACATCTCAGGCTGGCTCGCAACTATCGAGATATCCCCGGAAAGTGGTGGTGGTGGTGGGGGGGTGAGCCAGTGACCATCCTGGAGAAAAACAAAAAACAACCAACCAAAACCCCCAAAACCAAACAACCTACCAACCCACCCAAAAAAAACCCCAAGAAACCAATGATGGGATGGGATAAAAAGACATTCCCAACATACATCTATATTTTTTCCTTAATTATATAATGATACACTTTAAAAGTTAAATTCAGATTATGTGAAAACTTTTTTTAGAAGCATTTCCTTTGATCTGTTTCAATAATACTAAAGCCTGTTTTGTAAGTAGAGATAATATYTTCTAATAAACCAACTGGTACTGTTGGAAAAATCCCAGTGTTCATTATTTTTTTCAACTACTTCGTTGGTTTAACAAGATTCTTACCTACAAAACTTGCCTTGCCTATACCTTAAAAAAAAAAAAAATCAAAACTTGCCTTGCCTATACCTTCAAAAAAAAAAATCAGTTACAGTAACCCTTTCCCTTAAAAAGTATTGTTACTCATTTCCATTATCTGATGCCAGCCTGCACTTCAGGATCTGTTTCTCCACTATTTAATAAMCATTTTCATTCTGGGTTGACACAAAGAGAAACTGTGTCACTCTCAGTAGCAAACATGGCTTTTTCAAAGGTGGTTCAAATGTTAGGGGGAAGCTGCTTGGCACTTGTAAGCAAAAAAAAGAGCTCTTGGCAGGTCTTTCCAAGGATTCCCTCCCCATTGTTGATTTTTCATCTCATAATGTTTGGTTYGGCCTTTCTGGCAGAGCTCATAAAAACTCTGTCACTTGGTCACGGTTGCATGCAGGCATACCGCAATATTTCCCCATTTCTGGGTCGAAAAGCACACCACAATTATCACTTAACTATAAAGTGGGACAAGACCCAGGGGTGTCTCTMTGTTTCTACTTCCTCTTGCTTCCTGAATTTCAGGAACAGTACAGCAACAATCTCCACAGAGTTGCTAGTTGCAATGATCAGGAGGCCTAGTGTTGTGAAAAAAAATAACATCATCAATCACTCCTCTGCAGGAATGTATAGTACATCCCCATGTGCTACACGAAACAGGAGAGCAAGCTGAAGMAGAGAACAGTCTGCAGGCCTCCTCAGCACTCTGGTTGACCAGCAGGAACAGACARTAAAAATCAGAATCTGCTAGGGAACACATGATTAATGAGATGTCAGGCTCCCATATGGACACTCACTTCCTGCAGATCAGACTTCAGGCCACATCCTTGTGGTTAACAAAAATTAAGAGACAGCAGAGGGGAGAGCTTGCCAGTTACAAAAAGAGGCTCATGCCACCTTGAGCCTCTTCTTGTTATTGGTTCTGCTCTGCTAGCCAAGACGATGTAGAAAGGATGAGGGACACTTCCAAACTGTGTTGCTCAGTAGCTCAGGTACAGTACTTATGCTGACTTTGGTGGGGAGAACCGCAACATTCTTGGCAAACCTCATTGCTAGCTGGGCACTCAGGCTGACAGGATCATGCACCACTGCCCAGTCTACTACCTCAGCTCTTCCCACATCCAGTGGGAATGTTTTGAACCTGAGCTACAGCATGGAGATAGAATAAATGTGGGTTGTGCATACACAAGCCCATTTGTGTCCTTGTTCCTAGCCTCACTGTGYATATGTAATATTAGACATATGCAGAGATCAGCAAAAGAGCTGTGGGAAAAGCAGATTCACAAGGCTGAAAACACAGGTTAGAATACAATTCAGTGATGGGAGTGGCTATGCATCTGAAGCCTTTGCTTGGAAGAATAAACTTCATGTTTAACCAGTTTACCCAGAAAAGGCATTACCCTATGTGTATCATCAAATCTTATGTAAGATAATTTGATACCATTAAATCCACAATATTAGAGCTCCAGACAAAAAACGCACAGATCTTGGGAAAACTCCAGGTGAAAGCTGATTTTTCTTCTCCTTCACTAGCATCTTTTGTACCTCCCTTCAAACCACCTCACATGTACATATAACTTTTCTACTCAGTCTCACCTCTTGGGGGAGGAAAGGAAAGGATGTTTTCCAAGGGACATCATTCCCCTTGGAATAAGGGGCAATAGACTACCGATAACCAGGCTTAAGCAGAGGATGATATTGGGCTCCTCCTTCYGCCTCACACCTGGCATCACCTCAACACAACACCTCTATCTCCCATTCCCTTTTATGAACCCATGCACCCTCAAGTCCCCATCTGCCTGAGACCCGCCACCTTGTGCTGGCATTATCCCAGGGCACCAATAAGGACAAAAGGAGAGGAAACAACACATTTGCAGACTCTTTCCTTTCTGCAGCAGCTGAGGGAAGTGTCACCTGCATGCACCTGTGTGTAGCTGCAAAAATACAGGGAATATCCCTTGTTTTCACTCCTCAGAGGCATAACACTTCTGCCATGGGGCTGACTGATACACAACCAAGAAGCACCCTGAGCACCTCTTTTGAAGCAGCTGGGACTGATCTGTGCACTAAAGCAAGTCGACTTTAGTTATCTCAGAAGGTGCAAGTAGGGACTGAAATGTTTCCCACGGTTGAGGCATTTATGAGGTCTTTCTCCACTGTGGAATCTCCTGATTCTGAGCTTGGACACCAAGATTTTAATGGAGAAATGAACAGGGTCCTTCCATCCTCTGGCCTACTTTTCAAGCTTGGAGGAAGATAGAAGCTGTGAGCTCTTTGCCATACTGTTGAAGGAAAGTAAAAGGCTGAAAATTGCTGGGGAATGATAGATGATATTGTCGTCTTCTTAGTATTGTCTAAAACTGAAGCCTGGACTGTTGYAGTCTTGTCCTTTCTCTAGTTTTCTGTCCAAGATTTTTGATCTTGAGGTTTCAGTTTAAGGCACATTTACTTCTCAGGGYCTCTGAACACTTTATCTGACAAAGAAAGACTTTGATTTGTTCCAGTGAGACAAGCTCACTCATTATTTCTTTTCACACAAACTGTCAAAGCATCTTCAAGGCAGGCCTTGATTTTCTTTTCATTTTTAGTACGAGAGAAGACTATGATAGACAATAAGTAACCTTAATTCTACAGCAAATGTTTTTCTTACCAAAATAATGTCAAGTGCTCTTTAACTTACATTTTTCAAGTATATATACACTCTATTTCAGCGATTTTATCAAAAGCTATGCTAACAACTTGACTAAGTAAAAACTCAAAAAATTAAAATCTTGAGAAACATTGTAAGAGTCAGTTAGAATTTACATAACAAAGTTCTCCACGCTCCAGGGAAAAGACGAAGCATTTTCTTAAAAACTGCCTCTCGTCAGCTGGACAGGGAGAATCCCTGAGGCCGCGTTCCCGTTATGCCAGCAGGCAAGGCACGGCCAGCAGGCTGCCGTGCGGTTTTTCGCATTGAAGAAATACGAGACTTTAGTGGAGGMAAATCGGTTAAGAACTTGCTGGGACCGCTGGTGCTTTGACCTCGACCCCGCCAGAAGGAGAAGGATCGACATCCAGCCTGGCAGAGCTCGAGAGCCCAGCGGCCCCGGGGCAGGGGCTAGGCCGTGTGTGTGGGGGGGTCAGCTGCGGCCTGCCATCCCCCGACGAGGGCGGTTAACGCCCGTGGCCGCCCCGGCCCCACCGCTGCGCCCCGCCGGACACCGCGCTCGGCCGCCCGCGGCTCCACGGCCCCCACCAGCAGCAGCAACTTCCCCTCCGCCTCCCCGGCCCGGCCCGGCCGGCGGCACTACCCAAGATGCACCGCGCCGGCGCAGGCGCGGCCGCTCAGGAAGAGGAAAATGGCATAAACAACCCCGAGCGCCGGGACCGCTGAGGGGGAGGAGGCGCCGCCGCCCCGGGCCGCGCGGCCCCTTTAAGAGGCGCGGAGTCGCCCCCTCCTCCTCCTGCCCCTTCCGGAGCCGGACCCGGGGTGACGGCGGTCCCCGCGCCCCTTCCCCCTGCCCGCCCCCTTCCCCATGGTGCCGACCCCGGCGGCGGGGCGGTTGCCATGAACAGCAGCGGCCTGCCCTGCTCGTCGCCGTCGCCGGTGGTGGGGCCGCCGCCGGGGGCGGGGGTCGGCGTGGCGGGGCCGGCGGCCGGCGGGGCGGGGGCCGGCGGCGGGGGCGTGAAGCTGAAGTTCTGCCGCTACTACGCCAAGGACAAGACCTGCTTCTACGGCGAGGAGTGCCAGTTCCTGCATGAGGAGCCGGGCGCCGCCCCCGCCGGCCCGGGGCCCGGCGCCCCCCCACTCGGCGGGCTCCCTCTTGGCATCCCCCCGCCCGCCGCCGCCGGGCCGGGCTACTCGGCGCACGGGGCCAGCTCGGGCCCGGCGGCAGCAGTGGTGGGGCCTAAGAAAGCCGAGCTGGGGGCAGGAGGCAGCGGAGGTGGCGGCGGCGGGGGGCTGGATGGCCCACGGCTGGCGAGTGAGTGCAGCGGGGCGGCTCGGGGGTGGGGTGTGGGGGGGTGCTGCCAGGAGCGGGGGCGGCGGGCGGCGCGTTGTTCCTCATCCCCGACACGCCGCGGTGCCGCCGGAAACAAATAACAACAGCCATGGTGGCGGCGAGGGACCCCGGGCCGGCCGCCCGGCTGCGGCCGTCCCAGATGGGCGAAGGGGGCTGGGCTGGCCGCTTGGAGGGGACCCGGCCGGTACCTATGGGAAGGAGCAGGCAAGTGTGTGTGGGAAGGGGCATCTCCTGTCTGCCTTTAAGAGGCTCCCCGGCAGCTGTTCATCCGTTCCTCTAGCGCTAGGCTTGGTGCAGGTTCACAGGTACTCCCTGCCCGAAGTCAGGCCGGGAACAGGGAGCCAGCGCTTTCCGGAGCGCTACCCTTGGATAGGCTGTTCCGAACAATAAATAGTCAGTGTCGGCTCTTGCAAGTTTTAAATATTCCAGCTAAAGTATAACGTTAACATTATTAAAAAAAAATCGTAGAGATTCACCTCAACATCAGAAAGAATTCTTTTATGTTGAGAGTGGCAGAGCACTGAAACAGGCTGCCCAGGGAGGTTGTGGAGTCTCCCTTTCTGGAGACATTCAAATTCAAACCCCACCTGGGTGCGTTTCTGTGTAAGCTGCTTTAGGTGATCCTGCCTTGGCAGAGGGGTTGAAATAGAAGATCCCTGGATCCCTTCCAGCCTTAATGTTTCTATGATTCTGTGATAGAGATCTATGTTATTTACTACTGTGAGCAGAAAKGGCTTCAAAATCTTATTTCTGAGGATTTTCAGCCCTCATGCTCAGCCCCTTTTCTAATGGTGAGAGTTCAGATAGCCTGTGTGTCATGTAGGGCTGCACTGCTGTTGCTGGTCAGTTGTGTGTTCTGATGTGCAGTCCRATGCAGTTAGATGGAGCTTGCAGTAAATTGATTTTAATAACCATTTGTTTTGTAGCTGAAACAGCACTTTGCAGGCTAGAAAAAGATGCTTCCTCAGAAAAGTCATKCCTTTTTACATGAGTATGTTCAAATTGACTGCAGTATGGATTTTTGACACAAACCTGACATTTATTTGCATTAAATATTATCGCTACTAAATGCTCACAACTGGATTTTTTTTGAAATTAATATGCAATCATGCTGAACATCCTGTATGAAGGTTTTTAGTTTGATAAATCTTTTGGGATCCTGCAGTTGCTGTTTTGCCAGGTGTGGTGAGCTTGTGAAGCTGAGTATTACCTCTGTAGTCAGTAGCTTCTCAATGTCTTACATTAACATAATGCTGTTATGTCTGTCCTTTCAGGAGGAACCTTTAATATAATACTGCTTAAAGCTTTCAATCAAAAGTCTTTCATATTTTTGTTAAACTTAACTTATTCAAGCTGAAGGCTGCCTTGTCTTTTTAAAACGAAGTAGTACACTGGAGGGGTTGAGCAGCAATAAGTCAATCTCTTTTTCTTTTGGACAGAGTTTGGTGTGAAATACACTTCTGTGTGTGAAAGAAAATGACTAGGGGATTCAGACTTGGGGAGAGGAGGCATAATTTAGGTTGCAGGTAAAATCTGTATGAGGGATGTTCTTCCAAKAAACAGTTAAAAAAATTGGCCAAACCCTAAATCTTCAGAATTTGTGTGTGCTTGGGCATTGATACTGCTGAGAAGTTAACTTATTTGAAATACTTGCTTCTGTTGAATGTGTCAGAGGTTTTTTTCCACCCTTAGAGTGTGGAGCTCTCTGCAGTTGTACCCAGTTGAGGAGTGAGGTCACCAAGAATAGAGAAGCCTGCTGCTATGTTGTCAGTGGTTGCCTGCTTCCAGGCCACCTCACTTGTAGGGGCAAAGCTTCAACTGGTAGAAGATCTTGAAGGACCCTAGCTAGGAAAAAAAGCCAGGAAAGGAAGGGCAGGGAAATTTGATTTGATAAGACAGGGAATGGGCCTAGTCTCACTTCTTAACTTCTTTGCTTTGAGATGCATTTGTGATACAAATAAGGAAAATATTTCCTCAGAATCTGAAGTTGATATGTATAGTCCCTGCTAGCTAATACCTAAATTCCTTACCTTGCTGATGACCTTTGGTGTTAACAGTGTGATATCCAGGTGGATGGAATGAAAGATTTATTTCTGTGGATGTAGGGAGTGAGACACAAAGTTGTATTAAAAAAGTTCTGAGGTTAAGAACATGAAACTGGGAATTGCCAAAAATCACCTGCCTGTACAGTCTCACTGGCAGTCTTCTCTAATTTAAAAGTATTTGATAGCCTTAATGTGACTGTGGATGCCACCTTTTCTTGCTCCTTCCTCACTGGACACCAGCCTCATTCAATGCACAGAGCAGATAATGCTCATTGACTAATTAACTGGGTAGTCCTATTTATTGTTAAAAGTGGGTCAGTGCCTCATTCTAACATGCGTGTTACTCTAATCCTGCTTTGAGTACAGGATTATTAATTTACTTATAGGGTTTTCTGTGGTAATCACAAGGCTTCCCAAATACCAACTTATTTTCACAACATGGGTGGTAGAATGTTGAGTGATGAGAAGGTGACCTGTTAAAATACAAGAATGTTCCATTGTGGAAGTATTTCAGCATTGCAGTATGAAGTGGAATGAGGAGCTGACATCCTCAGAGCTTATCCAAGGAGGAGTTTCTCAGGTGATGTGTGGAGTGTTAGTATCTGACGGAATTCCCAAAGTGATCAGATAGTCTTGGAAAAAAAACTGCATGAGGTAACYAAATGCAAAAACTTCATCTCTGGATCAGACTCATCTTCCCCTACATATGGCTGAAAGCCTGCTGGGAAATCCTGCTTTATCCTTGCCTCACGCTCTTGCTTTTGTCCACATGTGTACTGCTGTCTGATATCAGAGATGGGGTAGTAGGTTTAATGTGCCTTTGGCTTGATGGTGCGGCTTTTTGTGTTCCAGGGAGCAAGACTGACCTTGCCTATGAGCTCTGCCCACTCCCRGAAGGTAGCACTGCTGCTCACTGCCCCTAGATTTTTTGACATTTGGGGCACATGTTCAAAGCTCCATTCCTGCTTCTTCCACCAGAGTTGTGAGTGYTMAGCCTTCTGCATGGTTCACCTTCCAAGAGTCGGGTGGCCAGCTGACTGCATACAGAATAGGAAACATAGTTGATATTGTCTATCTAAAATTGTATTTGAAGAAACTAATCATTTTTACATAGAACCCCTGTGACAGAATAAGGGAGAAAGAAAAACAACACATTTTCTCCAAATTTGCKAGCTGCTGAAATCTGCATGTGGTGCTTTTCTAATATGTCACACGTGTCAGCCCAGTGAGCAGCAGTGGCAGCAGGACTGTACCTGTAGAAGGCTATAGAAGAAGCAGAAGTGGGGAAATGGCTGGTACTCACTATTTAGGGGAAAATACATGATTGATTAACAGGATTTAAAGGAGTGGTCTATGGAAGGATGGTTAGAGGGCATGGTAGCATAAAGAATTTATCTTCTTGTATCTGCGCTCTGTTCTCTGTTGCACTTTGCAACCTCTGTAGGCAGCAGACCCACCCACAGCCTGCTTTGCTGCATGCTATGGGCTTGTTCCCMGGGCACCATCCCTTCTCAGTACTGCCTGAGGGTCTAGAGGGAAATGTTGTGGTATTAAAATGTATCACGCCTATACCTAAGTCAGACAAATTCAAGTTGCACGGACAACTGCCATTGTATTTGTTAGCTTTCAGGTAGCTGAAGAGATGTAATATTATTTTGCATGTAGACCTCATACTAAGTATTGATAGGTACAAGCTGAAGTATGACTCTAAACATTTGCTAATTTCTGCCCCATTTTTTGCAGTGAAGTTCATAATACATAGTACCCRGCCTTTCTCCTGACCTCTGATTCCTATAAATGTGGCCAAAACAAGAGGGTGCTGAGCTGAGGAGTTCCAGGTGTGCTCTGGGCCCAGTGGCRGCGCAGAGTTGCCGCTGAGGAACTGGCAGTGCTGCTGCTGCATGAGTTTCCAGTGCCAGAGCCTAACCCACCCTCTCATTGTGACACGTTTGCATCTGGTTCTATGCTAGAAAGCCGTTCACAAAGCCCTCATARGAAATCTGTAGTTGCAAAACAGGCCTGTGTTTCTGCAAGGTGGTATTTTGCTATGGCTGCTGAGAAGAGCCCATCTGTGAATAGACTTTATTGCCAACCTGTGAGAAGGTTGGAAAGGGACATCAAGACTTTGGGTGTGTTGGGCTGGCCTAATAAAAGCATTATTTCTGTTTTCACAGCTCTAATAAAAGCATTATTTCTGTTTTCACAGCCAACAACCTGCATGTTGTGTCTAGTCAGGGCAGTAGTGGCCACTGCTGTAGCAACTCCATATGTAATCACTCCATGGTTAGTTTAGTGAGCCTTACAGGTTAAGTTTTGTGAAATCCCTAAATATGCTAGGCTTGGTGTGGAAAAACGTAGACATTTGTGAATTTTCTGCTTTTTGAAAGGTGTTTGATTCTTAGCCAGTACACTTCTTAAACAAAATAAAGCAGCTGATCTAGAAAAAATTGAAAGATAGCTATTCAGCAAAACTGTTACTAAAGKTAATCTGTTGGATTACACTTTATAATGCAGTGAAACTGGTCAGGGTTATCCTAGATGTGTATTTTTCTTATCTTTGGTAGCATTTCAATATTTACAGGTTGAAGTATTYAGAAACAGCTGTCTGAAACTTTTAAGTACTACTTGCTGGATGTCACATACTGTTCACTTTTCCTAGGGTTTCTTTCTTCTCCACTTCTATGCAGAAAATAGGTATTATAATAAAGGTGTATAGTTGAGAATTCTTTTTCCAGATATGTTGGTTGGTACTTCTTGTGATTATGCTGTGGGAGCTGTGTATCTCAGTTTTTGTTTTTGGTTT